TAATCTGTTGGCTCTACACTCACAACATGAACTGGACACAAGGTTCATGCAAGGTTCATGCAAATATTCTAGAATGTTCGAATAAGCAGTGTGTGTGTGTGTGTTGTTGTTATTTTCAGGCGTTTCTTTCTAACTGAAAGTAGACATGCAGTTAGCATCTTCTCTATAGTTTCCAGGATGACACTTATCTCTGCAATCACTTTATGCACATTTCATCAAGAAGACAAGAAACACTACTAGTTGACTCAAAGCTGAATATTATGACTATGATGCGTGCATAAGAGCTGGTTAATACTGATACATGGAGCTGTTAATGAAACACAGACAAATAGTCATACTGAACTCTTCCATTATAAAAGCAAAATAATACTGATGATAAGTAGAAAAATAGCTTTAACTCCTGAAATCCAACAAGAAAGGTAGCCAAAGTGGTGCAAAGTGGTGGCTGTTAAAGCAGTGACTTGGAAGATAAATGGGAATGCCAAAGTTAATGTTTCATTTCTTAGCATGTGGAGGCTCCTGAAATGTGTTTCCTCACAGAAATAGACTGTCACCATAGCCTATTAATAAAGCAACATTTAACACAAGTTTTAGTTGTCATGAAATGGAGCCTGTAGCACAGGTGCCACATTATGAGGCAAACAAAGCAGAACGACATGTGTTGTCGCTGCACAGTGGCGACGGCAGTGGCTGTTAGCATGCTCCGGTCTATGGCATAGCGGGCCAATTACTGTTTTTGAAAAAAACACAAACGATCCTCAGTCTGCCGTAGGAGTGTGATGCCATCTGCTCACAGGGTTGATTGATCCCGGCAGAACAGTCACGATCACATCACACGAATGAACACCGACAGGAAATTACCAAAGGAGCCAGACTGTCATTGTTCCATACCACCTTTTGTTTTTACAACCAAATTAATCCAATTTTTTACCCCTGTGGGTGTGAGTGTTACCCAAATGTTGTTTTCCTAGGTCTTTATCAGTGTGTGTCGGCACACTGCAGAGCCCTTTCCTTTAGCCATCAGATCAGAGAATTCGTTTGCCTCTGAAGCCATGGCAGCCTTCAAAGAACAAGCTCTGGCACCCTGAAAGTCAAGAGGCCAGATTGTGGCGAGAGCCCACATGAGGGTCACGCTATAGGTAGTGACTGAAAGACACAGCTAATTAATCTGGGGATTATGTAATCAAGATGGAAGAGGGGCCAAACAGGCAGCACATTAGTCATCACAGTTAGGGACAGACATTGTTAGTCCTTGTTAGACTTAGTTGGGCTTAGGTCCTTGGTATTACTGCAGAGATTCTTCTTTCTAGCAAGGTGGGGCCTAGTTGAATCAAGGTGCATTAGTTTCAGCTCTTGTAATATAGTCATACACGATATTAGTAGAAGAGGTTACAGAAATCCCATATCCTCCTGCTCCTTCATTTTCAGTCTGAAGAATAGAACTACCCAGAGACTAGACATCACATCTCTTTCAACAGCACCCAGCATCAGTGATGTTGTATATACACATGTACACAAAGGGTCTGACAGCATGCTTACATTTTTAGATATGTTTCATGCACACACCTCCCAGTGGTCGTCCTGGGAAAGGGGCCCAGATAATCTTGTTGGGCCTGCCAGAGGTTCAAAGCACCTATATGGGTCAGAGTGGGGAGGGTGTGTGTGGAGGATGGAGGATAGAGAGGGGCTCTGTGGCAGCTTGCCTGCCAATGACAACAAACCCAATGACAACAAATGTCAAAGTGTTGCATAAACACCAGGCAGACCATCACTTTCCATCCTCCATGACATGATCAAAACCCAGAGGAAAACAAATACATGGAGGAACTGATTGGGAAACTCGGCCAGCTTTCTTGTCATTGTGAAGCAGTACAGAGGAAATTAATTTGATAAAAAGATACTGAGGATGATTTGATGCAATTGTTGGCCCTGTTGACCAGGGGACACATGGCCAGTGGGCTCGCTTTAGTTTTGTTTTTGCCTCTAGACTGAAGCAAAAACTGACATCTCCTCCATCAACAGGTCTGTAGCCATTGTGGCATTTCGGGCCATGAAAAGGATTTCCTCACAAGTGAA